GTCTAAGGTCTTGCTTTGTGACCGTACTGGTCTGTGTAAACTCATGTACAATACAGCCAAACTTCCGAACAGAAAGTATTATAAAGACCAATTTAAGAGCAACAAAAATACATTTAACAGAACCAGACATGTTTCTTCGTATTCAACACGACATCGTAACTAACAAAAAATAACCGAATTCAGATATCCTGAGGTTTATATACCTTTGCTTATAACTCATTCATTCTAAATAGGTATTTGAGTATATAGTAGTGTCGTAACTTGTTGGCACGTTAAGGTTACGTAATTCAAATTCTAGTTTCTCAAACAGTCCAAGGTCAAATGCTTAGGTTAACATCGTAGCTCTAATTTATTCTAAAATAGGTATTTGAATACATAGTAGTGTCGTAACTTGCATGTTAAAGTTTGTAATTCTAATTCTAGTTCAAATGCTTAGTGTAATCTCGTAACTTTGAACTTTCTTTTAAGTTCAGGATTCTTCCATTTAATATAATATATATAATACATATATAGGAATTTATAGGCCTATAGTTTAGGTATATAGATTATATATAAAGTTTTTAATTCTAATTCTAGTTCAAATGCTTAGTGTAATCTCGTAACTTTGAACTTGTCTTTTAAGTTCAGGATTCTTCCATTTAATATAATATATATAGGAATTTATAGGCCTATAGTTTAGGTATAGAGGTCCTGTATCACATATAATATTGGCATAATATTGGACCACTAAAAGTATATATACTGGTGATAATACCATGCCGCTGGCTATTAAACAGCATCGATATGGCCAACGTTCGGCGACACAGAGATTAAAGTGTCGCTTGCATTAGATTCACCTGTCGGTTGTCTTTTTTTTTACTGCGCATCACCGTGTGTATAATATCAAGCACCGTATTTAAACGGTTGAGGTTGATTGTAAAGGACACCCCCACTCATCGTATTGAAAACATTGCCTGTGCATCGTATCGTTTTGTACACACGCATGAGTCGCGGTGATACCGACGGTGAAATCTATACGGCTTACGTCTTGTTAACTTTCCTTTCAATTGACGCTAGCCTGCTATTTGCTAGATACACTAATTAATGAATGTATTAGCGAAGGAATTTGTAGCGACTTTGTGCTCATCTGTTTTGAGAGAGACCGATTGGGTCCCCGATAGGGTCGCATCCGTGTCACCTTTGTCATGATATACACTGGTGGAGACAGCTGCCTGATGTCGTTAGCTACAGTCAACGATTTTCTACCAATGAAATAATGCGCAGCTAATAGCGAGGATATGGTCAGGTGAAACAATATTGGTACAAACTTTCAGAAAACATTACTTTTTAAACTGTTTGGTGTTTGACCGTTGTGCTGTCATTTTTTCTTTATGAATATATTATAGTAAGCTAGGCCAAGAAGTCTCGGCAGCGATAAGAATGAAGCGGGTGACATATATAAAATATGTAATACTATTGGCGATTATAGAAGGTAAGGCTAAATCATGTTTATCTTTATGAACTTCGTTGATTAATGTACTGTATTCATTAATGTGTGGCCTACGTTGTTTCAGGCACTGCCGTTTCAAGATAGGACTTACACTCTCGTGCTGCGCTCAATACTTTTTATGTTATCATAATACAAATGAGCAGTGTACATAGCTGTAGTTATTATAACCCATGAACGTATCATGCCGAGTAGGCCTACAGTATCAAAAACAAAATCTCTGATCATAGGTTGATACAACATGGCTGTAAATACTTTTCATAAAAAGGGACGAGGATACCATTACAAACTGCCTTAAGTAGCATATTTAGAACGCTCGATTATAGGGCTATTGTACGTTGACATTAGCTTACTGGCCTGCGGGCATAAAGGCTTACAATTAACATTGTCATCACCCATCAGTATCATTATCAACATCATTTTCTTTATTCTTTATTAGCATTATTAATTTAAAGTGGCATCATCAGTTAATGTAACCAGTTTCACTATCATCATTATCTTCATCATAATTAGGCCTATCACTACCATCTGGCTTTTAATTATTAGGACAATCTAAGTCGTCGTCATCATTATCATCATCATCACCATCATCACCACCATCGCCACCATCGCCATTATCCATCATCATCTAACACTTATTATTATTATTATTATTATTATTATTATTATTATTATTATTATTATTATTATTATTATTATTATTCTCATCATAATCAGCATAATTACCATCATTATATTATTTATCCTATCACAATCCTTACCATCATCATCATCACCATCATCATGATAATTCAAAAGGTTAGCTGCTGCTCAAGGGACTTCTTAAATAATTTGTTTATAAAATACAACGTTTTCCGACGCTTAATAACAAGACAATAGTAAAAAACAACAAAAACATAGGCATATAAAGCAAAGTCGCATAGATCTGTAAATATAATTTGAGAAGCACTTCAATTTCAAATATAATTACAGTCAATTTCATGGAAATTGCATTAGGCCTATTACTGATTATCTGTACACCATAATTGTGATAATGACACTTAACTATTATTGAATAAACGTCAAATCCATCTGCGTCACTTCATCATAATCATTTCAGTAACTGACCAGTACGATATTTTACGAACCCTAAAATACAAATAAATGTCCATAGACCATGGGGTCTAGGAACGATGTGTATAAGAGACAGGGTATATAGATTATATATAAAGTTTTTAATTCTAATTCTAGTTCAAATGCTTAGTGTAATCTCGTAACTTTGAACTTGTCTTTTAAGTTCAGGATTCTTCCATTTAATATAATATATATAATATATATAGGAATTTATAGGCCTATCACCATAATTGTGATAATGACACTTAACTATTATTGAATATACGTCAAATCCATCTGCGTCACTTCATCATAATCATTTCAGTAACTGACCAGTACGATATTTTACGAACCCTAAAATACAAATAAATGTCCATAGACCATGGGGTCTAGGAACGAACGAACGAATCGTTTATCTTATAGGCATATTTCACTGGTACCACGGTTTTTATTTTATTGTCAACCACGTACTAATTCTATTGTTATTGTGATGAAAAAATGACATAGGCGGTAAAAATGTAATTGTTCTCGATTGCTATATCGCATATGATAATTATAACCGATATTATATTATCAATGTGATTATTAGTAAACATATTGTTATCTATATCATTAACAGTAACAATATCTGTATCATTATATGTATAATTACCATTAGCATCATCATGACCTTTCAGTGCAGAGACTTAAGGAGGGGTAGGGGCATGCCCCACCCTATCTAAATATTTGTAGATCTCAGTGTGTCAATCTAAATAAACAAAATCATACACCTTATATATTTTCTGTGGGAATCTTCACCCATCAGACCACCCCACCCCTCCACCATTTAGTACCTACTCAACCCCCGCTTGCACGCCACCCCTGTGCTGTTATTACCAATATTATATTACTTCATAATTTTTATAATTTTTATGATTCGTATTGGTCCTTTCTCAGCTTTGCCTTCGACCTACATTAAGAAAATGAATTGATAATCGCCGTATATGACAAATCAATATTACGCAGTTTCATAAATAGGTCAGATTTTACGTTGCGTTGGAAATTTATGAACACAATAATTTTATAATTGCCACAAATAAAATTATTAAACCTACGTTCAACTAATTTGGATACCTCTTTCTCGTATTACCGTAATACACATGTGTCAGATTGAAAGCGTTTCTTAAATTATTATTGGTGGAAAAACCAGTGAAAAACAATTTATTGTAACTTATTGTAATTTACTTGTGAATTCACTGAATATACATAAATCTTGTTGCATCGTATCAATACCGGTTTCCTAGAACATTTTGAATAACAATGAAGTAAAGCATGATATTATATCAAGCAATATGGCCACTGCTTAGCACTAAGCAGGGGCAGATCCGGGATTTATCGTTAGGGGGTTACCAACAATTGCAGATGGTTTGAATTAACCACCCTTTTAATCACACCATGGGACCATGGTCCGTCCCCTAGTGATTCGGGGGTGCGATTGATAAACTAATATTCTTAGATGTTTTAAATAAAAGATATAATTTAGGCCAACTTACTGGGCTATTATTTCACATTCATAAAAATCATGCATTTTGGTAAATAAAAGACATTGATAGTTGTGAAATAAAGCATTAAAGTCATACTTCTAAGGCAAATAGTTACTTGTAATAGCACTATATTACAGTATATATTATGTTTGTTTAAGTAAGTGCGGGTTAATTAAGCTGTGGCATCAAATACACAACATATTAACCTCAAACGCAGCCCATAGCTTATAGGTTTTGTTTACCAATGTCACAACAACAGGTACAAAAAAACGTCGATGATAGTAATTTCTTAGCTCATTCAATTGTGGGGCCGCACAATCGATATCTTGTGTGAACGACATCAACTAAAACAGTAATGGACAGATACATTATTGTAAAATTATTCAGTATGACAAATTCGCTAAAGATGTGTATAAGAGACAGGTATTATAAAGACCAATTTAAGAGCAACAAAAATACATTTAACAGAACCAGACATGTTTCTTCGTATTCAACACGACATCTTAACTAACAAAAAATAACCGTATTCTCATCTGGATTAGTTGAAAATGACGCAATTGTGACAAATTTGTTCAATACTAGGAGGATTATTCGATCGTCTGAATTCTGTGATATCGATTACTTATTGTATCTTTATGAACGATGTCGTTCAGAGCTACGGTCATTACAAAACACTAATGTATATAGGATAAGCTTATTATTAATGTACAGGTCTATTATTGAAGTACATAGGCCTGTTGTTAAGTCATTATGACAGAAAATTAACTGTAGCATTTCAAGTGCTTTTAATTATTACCCTGATGGTAGACCTGATGTTTATCAAAAAATGCATTAATGTTCGTGTTAAGTTGCAAGTATCATGATTAACAACCCTACGTTCTAGCCATTTTTTAAATACTTTTATTCTAGAATATTCATATTCATAGGCTCCTTCCTTTCTAATAAAACTCGTACTTTCTCCGCTCTTTCCTCTGTTTACGTGTCTTCATTCGTTCTCATAATATATCGAGTCATCAATTATTCTGAACTATTGCTTCAACTATTTCTATTATTTTCCATTCGCTTTTATGTCTTTAAATTACCCATATTTTTTAGGTATTAGGATTGTCTTCCCTATTTTTTAGGTAGTGTTTTTATAAGTCTTCAGTGTACAGACTTCTACAAATCTTTCAATGAAAAAGAGAAGAAAAATTAAAAGAGCATTTTGTAATTTTTAAGCCGTACCTAAGGAGTGTTTTATGCCCGGTGAATCCACGAGTTTGGTATGGCAAATTCCGCAACATCTCAACAATTTATGTTTCGTATAATAAAATTATATTAGTACAAATAAAATGTTATATATATACTGCAAATAAGTATATATATATATATATATATATATATATAAATAAGTATATATATATATAAGGCGATGTTGCGTCCTTGAGCACAATGCAATCACACGCAGAGTCATTGATGGTAGGAGCAAGACAAAAGCTAAATAAAATGCTGAGGAAATTATTCGCACGAAAGCTTACAGCGTTGTAAAGTTACTTATCGATTCTTTACCGACCTTGTAGTATACACCTAATGGCCCTCTCACCGGTTCACGTCATAATTTATTTAGAGCCCGCGCCATCACGCATATTGAAGTGTAATGTGCGGACTCTATCTTGCAACTAAATTGTATTGGAAGGTGTAGCCTCTCATTTGCATAAACACGTGCTCGCTGCCTATTAGGTCAATGTCCAAGTATGACTCTGACGTCAGCTCGCGGGACTACACTTTAAATTGCTATCTTCACTTTAAAAAAAAAAAAAGGAAATCAAGACGTTTAGCGCGAGATAGATTAACATTCTGGTTTCAAATGACGCGTATAAAACGATACATCCGTAAATATAATATCATATTTCCCAAAATATGTCTCATAAGGCCATATACTTAATTTCCTAGGAATAAAGCTGTCATCCACGTGATTACACGAGGTACACTTAAGATGATATTTTGAATGTTTTCGTTTTGTGTTTGGACACGTTTTTGTCGACTTTCAAATGAGATTTGAAGGGTGGTTTTGTTCGTACATTAATGCCTTGCGAAGTCGGCCATTCAGTCCAGAGAGCCAAATTGTCTCCATCTAATGCAAATACATCAAGAACAATGTATATGTTGACTTCCCGTTGACTTCATTTAGCGTAACGATGTTCTGATGGAAGCAAGAATATATTCAAGGAATACATAGTCTCGAAATATTTGCTAGCGTTGATTTAAAATTATTACTAATAAGTATTGTATTCTATGCAGTATATAGAATATATTATATATATATATGTATATATATATATATATATATATATATATATTTAGTAGCATATAATATAAATCAAGATAGCC